TGTTCTGAGTGCAGTGGTTCCTCAACTGCACTAAGTGCAGTATATTTTCTGCTGCTCTGAGTGCAGTGGTTCCTCTACTTCTCTGAGTGCAGTGGTTCCTCTGCTGCTCTGAGTACAGTGGTTCCTCTGGGATGGGTCAGGATATAGTGTCATCAGGGGAGCGGGCCAGCTAGCAGTCTTTTTCTTTCTATGGAAGACAAGGTATTCACCATAGCAACTGAGGATGGCTGTGTAAGAAAAACTTGAGAGAAGGAGTTAGGATCCTTTATGTATTTAAATTTTATTAGAAAAAATGAGTAAAGCAGTCATTTTAATTAATTAATATTTATAAGTGTCTACTAGGAGAACCCAGAATTGGGTGTTAAGCATTTATATCCCCAACACATGTATATATGCATATATTACATATATATGTAACTATAACAACTAATAATTTCTTGTGGAAAGAAATAAACAAAACATAAAAATGGCTAAGGACACATTTTTTTGTTCTCTCTGGTTTTGATTTTTATATTTCATCCATTAGATGGTAGACCCACAGGAAAGTATTATTTGACTTAGCTGCTGTTAAATGGTAACTGTCAAGAAACCTAATAGGTAAAGATTAAAGCTATCTCCTAAAATAGGGACAATTGTATAAGTATTGTTTTCAGTTAAGTATATTATAATTGTGCCCTCAGTAAATGCATCTACAGGAGGCAAGCAAATTATAATTATGAAGAATGTAATTATATGCCATTATCTAAATTGTACATGGTTCAGCCCTGTTTCACAAAATGGGATCCTTATGGATCTTATTTATGGCATACAGAAAATGTATGTTCACATTGATCAATAGTTAAGCTGGTGATTAATAAATGCTTAGCAGCAATTAGCTCAAAAATTCAAAGAATATATATAAATACAACTTATCTAGCAATGGGAGGCAGGCAGACATGTGTAATGTTGGCTGCACTAACTTTGAAGGTCAAAAGATATAGCTCGGTAAAAAACGCAGGCAGGGAGTCTTTGTAGATATTTGAGGCAAGGAAAGAGGAATTGTCAGAAAATGAAAAGGGGACTTTTTGCCACTTGGATGTACAGGGAGGAAAGCGAGAAGTGGGAATTACTCTGCTGCTGCAATGATTGGAACAAACACTAAGTTCAAGAATAAAACCGAGGCAACTGACTCCAAACAAAGCAACACAATAGGCCCACTCTGTAGAAATAAAATTGGATTTCCAAACAGGGTTTTAAGACCATGCTATGAGCTATATGCTACATCAAGAGGTAAATGCTACTGGATCTTTACATTTCCAGAGAGCCCCATAAATTCTTCACAATGGTCTAAATTGATTCACGACATGACCTCTGTAAAAGAAAAGCTGCCTTGAGGTAAAAGCTTTTCCAAAACTTTGTAGAACTTAATGAAAATAACTACCTCCATCCAAACAGATCAGGAGGTGGGTTAAGATTGCTCATTGTCTGCAATGAACTTCACCTCAAACCCCTAACACAGTAGAGATTTCACCTGAAGCAAAGCTTTAGATAAATTGTCCTCAGACACCAGGCATTTGCAGTAACTCCAACACTGTAGATAATTTTGTAGCTTTTATTTCCACAGAGGCAGCCTTTTGCTTTAAAATAAGGTGGTGGCTAAGCACGAAAATGAAGATTGCTTTGTTATGGGATAAGGGACTGTGATGCCAAGAACCGTACAGATGCACACCAAAGGAAGTTCCTTGAATATGTCATTAATCGCTTTTGTCCTCTCCGTGGAATCTCTACATTGTATCTCAGCTAGCGTAACAAGCCATATCACGATTGGCTGTAGCAAGGTCAACTTATTTTTAAAATTTTTATTTTTAATTAATTTTGTTCTTTGCAATACTAACTACTCTCCTCCACCACACACACACACACACACACACACACACACACACACACACACACACATACACACACACACACACACACACATACACACTTTCCTATCTTTCTCTCATTTTTTGTTAGTACCTTCCCTACCAGTTCTTTTTCAGTGTCCTGGCTTTTGATTAGGTCCCATGAACCACTTGATTCAATCAGGATTGTCTGTGTGACCACTGGATTATAACTACCCAGTTGGAGCCTGCTGGGCTCATCAGTGGGTTCACAATAAAGTTAGTGTGGCCCCATTTTAAAGCTGATGCTACTGTTTACTGTTATTTGCTCCTACCCTACCCTCCGGTAAAACCAGGGAACTAAGCCCTAGAATATGAAGAAACAACTCTCCACCTGTGCTTAGGAATTGATCAAGTGGGTGCCCAGTTTGCGACTCACACGGTTCAGAGGGAGGCATGGAGTCTTTCTGTGCCTCTTCTCTTTCTAACATATTTAGCATCTAGTATTTTCATGGAAGCACGTGTAATTCTGATGTGACAACTATTCTAGAATTCTAACCATTTTAGCTAAATGGCAACCAGAAAATACAACTACTTTTAAGTACTTTAGCTTTTGATTTTAGGTTGATTATTTTTGAAACTTTACATGGTATGTAAATGTCCTTACAATGTACCTATGTTATATGTGCAATGTACAGATGTACATTATACTCTGTACATCTTACTATGGAACTACACTGATTCACATTTAAGAGTGTGAAAGTCAGTGGGGGGAGGGATGAAGAGCCATGCTGTTCCTCTGTTCACATGTGAGTATATGAACTGATTCACTACATGTTATTCTGTGATAACTGCCTGCTAATACATCACCTACATATGACTGTGTCACTCTTAAAATAATCCTACTAACTCTGTAATCTCCCAGGAGCATCTGACCCTGACATTGTTCTACTAGAATCTACCAGTGATTCCTGAACCTCTCTACTGTCCAAGAAAACTAGTTTGATTCATAAAACCTTTATTAACAAGGGCTGACCTCCCCTGCAAGGCTTGTTTCTCATGACTCCTCACTCTGAATTTAGGGCCCATGGGAACTTTCAATGTGTTTGTCACTTCCTGCTTTAGCTCAGGGGTGAGTCTTTGCTTGGCCTTTGAAACCTCAAACATTTTTTTCTGACTCTTTCCATATATTTCACATACATGTTTGTTTCTTTCCCTGCCTTTCTCTTCATTAAGCTGTGTGACTCTGTTCCTCACACTAGTGGGGTGGTGTTGTAAACCACTAACGTACTGACTGTTGGAGCTGTACACTTTTCCATTTCCGGCCAACTCTCTGATTTGGAGACCATGCTTATTATGTTTATTTTCACATAAACAAATACTAAAAGGAATAAATAAAACCAGTTTTTTTTCTGGAGGGATTCTGTTCTACCAACACCTTCACAGGACCACCCAGCAACAACAACTAACTAGGTAGCTGTGCATTCTGTAGCTTCATCAAATACACGGAAAATTAACCCCTAAACCTCCAAAATAAAACAGAGGTTGTGATGACTGAAAAGATAATTGTTATAGTTTAAGATGATATCAGTGTTATGTTGGGTGTCCTTTGATCCTCACATAAGAACTGACATCATAGGCCAATACAGGTTCAAGTTAGATAACTTACCTGGAATCACACATCCTAAATTCACCCTAATCTATGGAAAATCCATGTTCTTTCCACTTTTTTTTTTTTTTTGGCCATATGGAGAACTGCGTATAACAGGGAAACATGATGCAACTGACTTCTCATCTCATGGCATCCTCAGGATCTTCACATTATACAAACCAGATTGATTTCATAAAGCTGGAAGAGAGAAAAATCTTGGAAATGTGCACAAAGTTCTGAGTTCATTTATAAATGAAACTCAAATAAACCAAGTTGCCAAAAGTCACCAAACCCTTGAGACCTGAAAACCACTCTTTATTGCTTAGTGAAACCACTAACGTTGCCTGTAATTATGATTTTTGTTTCTTCAAATCATGTTGATGCCTGTATAACTGCAATAACTGCTCTTGGAAAGGATTTCCACATCCTAAATCCTAGGACCTGTTAAGTCACCTTATATGACCAAACAAACAAATATTAACTATAACTGTGTGCTTGAGTGAAAGATGAAAGGATGGAGAAATAACCCATCATTACACATGGAGGCTCTAAATGCAACCCCAAGAAGAGCGATATTCATGCAAACAGCAGAGGGTTGTTGTGGACTCAAGACACAGAGTGCTGAAAGCCACCAAAAGTAAGAAGAGACAGCTAGAATGTCCTCAAGCACCTCCAGGAAACCTCTAGAAAGATTCTGCAGAGCACACAGCTCTGCCAACACTATTTCAGCTTTTATAGAAGAACGGTTTTAAACCAACAAACTGTCCAGGTCCAGACTCACACACTGTTGATCCTGGCACTGGTAGGCAAAGGCAGAAGAATGGGCATTCAGGGTCAGTCTTAGGCTTCCTGGTGGGTTTAAAGCAGATTGGACTAAAAACCTTACATTGGACTGGGAAGGGGAAGGGCTGTGATCAGGGTGAAACATGAATAAATAAATAAATTAATTAATGGAAAAAATGAAAAAAATAGACATAAAAACAATGAACTACAGCAGCCATAAGGAACTAAGATTCCTAAATATTAAGAGTTATAAATCATGAATACCTTGAAAATTCAGTAATGTCATTGGTAGACCATTTGTCCATATCTTTTTCACAGAGGAAGAAAGAAGTAAGAGGCACTTCCCTTTGGCAGCACCTTGACGTGGGTTTAAACTGACCTTGGACAACAGAGTGCTATGGCCTCTTGGATTTTTTTTTTAACTCAATAAACATGATTTTATAGCAACACTGCTTCCTGCCCATTTAGACTGCCACCATTACAGGACAGACTGTGTTTAAAATGTTAGGGCTGAGACAATAAATGAGAACCAATAAAACAGTGAAGTGTTCCACTTTCAACTCAGTGATCCAAGGCAACAGTTCAGAATTCATGATGCGGCTGGGTAACCAGACCCTGGGATAGATCTGAGGCATTACACTGCTGATGGGTTTGAGATCATGGTAAGTGCCAGGCAATAACACTCCACTCTTAACTGTCCTCAGGCACGATGGGATGGCTTGACTGGGCGGATCACCTTCAACAAGACGGATGGCTTGAGAAAGGATTTCGATCTGGACATTATCAGTCTCAAAGAGGAAGGAACTGAAAAGGTAACTTCCTGGATGGTGAATAAATTAACCAGTGCATTCAGGAAAGGGAATTCATTGTTCATGCATTTTAGTGAAATGGCACAGACAAGTTGGAGAATGACAAAATGACTTTCTTAGCACTTTCCTTGACATCTAGCATTCTGGCTCATTCCCTCACAATTGGAAGGTAGGCACCAATGGGATAGATGGTCAAATTATAATTTGGAATTAATACCACTGATTAATGTTTATCAACGCTTGGTCTATAAAGCCACTCTTCATTGTCATCCACATATCCTTAAGCACTGGCATGGTAAGGTCTATTTCATAAACATTTTACAAAGTTGAGCTTGGATTTGGACTGTAGAAATTGCAGCTGGTTTATCTATGGCAAGGCACCCAAGGGTTACTCAGAAATTAATTTTAGCTGAACTCTATTTTGAGATTAGTGACAGAGGGATGGAATAAAATAGTATAGAAGAGGGGCAAATTTACATGGCATCCTTAATTTAGGACAAATGCTAAAAATTTTTATTTTCATGCTGAATTCTCACTTTATTTTAGTTGGAAGTCTCAGTTTCAAAGTTTGGGGTTTTATTTTAGCTATTACTTAGACTAACATGAATGTAAACTGTTAAGTAATGACAAAGGAATTTTGCTGCTCAATATATTTTACGATTTTAATTTAATATCCACGTCCGCAGGTCACAGTCAGCATTATAGTTGGAGGATTTGCCTTCAGGACCTAAAGATTAGGTCCTAAGAAGACTTAAAGATTGGGAAGGTCCAAATTACCTGGGCATCAGATCGCCATAGATCAGTGCGTTTTCATATGACAGAGACTAGCTCACAAAATGTGATGCTCAATATAAAAGAGCACTTTGAAACAGCTAATTTCTAATGGTTGGTTTTACTTTTAATGCAAGGTAACATTTCCTTATCTGTTTCGTTGTTGCCGTTTACTGGGACACATTCTTCTCCCTTGGCAGATTATAACTGCCCTCTTCCTGCACATCCTATCCCTAAACACCGTGACTTCAAAGAAAGATCAATTAATCTAGATGTTGAAGGCTATCACAGGTGTTGAGATGTTTGAGAAGAACAATAAGCTCACAACTTTGGAAGTCCACATGTATGTGGGTTTTCTATTTCAAAAACGCTGCTTACTCTCCTTCTTCCTGGTTTGAGCATTACTCCGCTGGCTTCCTCTGCTGGTTTAACAGAGAACAAAACAGCTACCTGCCTCCATATGGGACTTGGGCCCGAGGGAACAGAGAAGAATGTTTATTGTAACCTAAAAGCTTATAGTTACTTTAAAGAGGATCTGTTTCTCTAAACCCTCTCCTTTTGCATTTTTTGGCTCCTCTGAGTATGTAGCATGGACAAAGTAAGGCTGCTAAGGAAATGCCTGTCCTTGGCTCAGACAGGTAATAAACTAGTCAGAATCCCCACAGCTATTTATATGCACATTGAGATTTTACACATTGAATTGCTGTTTTCCCATCAAAAGCAAAGTCAAAATAGATGAAAGTATTTTCTATTTGTTTCTTATCTCTTCAACCTTTGCAACACCTTTTTTCTTCAGGTAACTTGGCCTCAGTTCCTGAGATTGCTGGTTGAGTCTTGAAGGCAGTGGGGAAAGCTAACATGTCCCTCGGGATCCAAGGGAAGACATGCCCGCACTTCCCATGCCAGCTTCTTGGGGCTCACAGGCGAACCATTATCAAAGTCCATCCGTCCTTTGCATCTAACCTTCTACTTTCTGCAAATTCATAATCAAAGATACACCATTCAGCGTGTTTCTCTGGATAGCTTAGGAAATGTGTGTATGTATGTGTGTGATGAATGACTGATTTAACCACCATAGATTCTTTTAACAGTTCTCTTAAAGCATGGTGAATATTCTCTACCCCTGTCGCATATCTGTGAACATTCAAAAGCGCTTTGATTTACTTTATGCTGTGTAAAAGGAGCACGTAACTTCTGTGACACTCAGCCTGCCCCTTTCATTTCCTCGTCATACCTATTGTTGGTCTTTATATGAATTAAAATGCAAAAGTCCCAAACAACAGGTGAAGAGTGTCACACAAACTATATACGTCACAGTTCCTGCTGCATTTTAATTAAGTGTGTTTTTATTTTTCCCTCTGAAACCCCAGGCCTCTGGTGAAGTGTCTAAGCACTTGTATAAAGTGTGGAAGAAGGTTTGTACCCTGATAACAACTGCAGGACACTTGGGGTGGGGTGGCTGCCCTCTGCCAGTCTTACCAGGCCAGGGGCTTACCAGCTGCATGCAGATTAGTAGGGAGACTCCATAGAAGGGAGGGGGCAGGGAGACAGAGTGTGTTCACGATCAGTATTATCAGGAATTGAAAGAAGACATTCGATGGGCTAATGAGTGCTGGGTGGGTAAATATTTCTTTCTCCCTACATTAGCTTTTCCATTGGACTGGATCAGTGTCCATGGAGACTGTGAGGAGGTAACACAGACAGTGGCCCATTTATAGATCTTCTCAAACCTCTAACTATTTCCCCTTAGGGGAATGAAAACAACAGGTTTGATTCATCAGACTAGTCAGATAGGCTCAGGCCTCTGAAGGCAAGGACACTTTCCTCAATGTCATCCAACTGTGAAGTATAGGCCATTTTCAAAAACTCCCCTTGCTCAAGAGCTGTCTTTGCTTTATCAGAGCATACCGTCTTGACATTTATTCTGGAACTGGTTTCCAGAGGACAAATCAACAGAAAACTTTTGAAGGGAAATGAGATTATCTTGTAAATTTTAACACCCACTATTTCATAGTTTATTGTAAAGGATCATGTTGCCAGTGACTGTGCATAGATTTATACAAGCAGATGTTCGACACCAGAAAGGCTTGCATGAGGAAAGTGTCCCAGTGACAGGCAAATGTCACACTGCTGTCAGCCTTTCTCCTTACTCCTCTCTCTCTCTCTCTCTCTCTCTCTCTCTCTCTCTCTCTCTCTCTCT